TATATATAATCAACCGAAAAATTCGATTTAAAAAATCGGTTTTGATATTTAATATTTATATTGTCATATTAATCCCGAAAATTGAGAATATATAATAAAATAAATACTGAAACAAAAATTTAGTCGGCGCAAAAAATTCCCAAAAATGATTATTTGAAAATTAGTAATCCACAACAAATCCATGTTATAAATAAATAAATTATTAGAGAAAATATAGCCAATCATCGGTTTTTTGAATTAATGATGCGATACATTAAGGATGACGCATATGAGAGACAGAAACAATAAGACATTATAGACTCAATATAAAAGGCATTACGTGTCTTAAGCGGCACGTTTTCCCGTAATATGTACTTGTCGGCGATATTCCCGCTTTGGACAGGGTCGACTGGCCGACTATCAGAAATAAGGACCTGAGTTGGAATCGCAAGTCGGCGTCGCAAGGGAAATTAATCGACCTCGAAGTATGCTCAAGCTACGAAGAGAGGCGCCAATTTAGGGCTGATATTATGCGGGTCTGAAAGGGGTTGTTTGGGTAGGTCCGTGCGTGAAATTCTAATCGCCACGCGAGTCAAGACATTATTCGGTTTCGCTAGCGATATGGATAATCCGATGATAATCCCAAAATAAAGAAATTTTTATCGAGAGATAGAGAAAATACATGTATAGAAAGTTGGTATAGACGGGATTCTAGAATATAACATCATATTTTTTTAAATAAATTTCCATATGTAAAACTGATTCAAAACATCAAAACTCATATCTTTTCTTTACAGTTTTTTAAATTTTCGGCGTTAAACATCTTAGCAATTAAGATTCAAATTAAAATTGTATTAAAGTAATGTCAATTTATAACGTGAAGAATAAAAAAGGCTAATTGCTTTCCTTTTTATCGTTTTTAACATTCTAAATTTAGTATTAAACCTCGTATAATAAAATGAGAAAGTCACGTTTTTTGTCGGAAAAAAGTTTGAAAGACTAACACAGATGCAGCTTTTATAAACAGTTAATCGCGTACTTTACACGTAAAGTATACGACCTAAAGTTGTGGCATGAAAAGACAAATATGAGATCATATTAAACACAAAATTATTCGAGCTTAATTCAAAGTTATTGAACCTATAGATTATTTTAAATCTATTATTGAATTGCGATTAATTATTTGCCACTTTAAGATCTTTTGCTTGAAATGAGTGCTTTATATGTTGAATTTTAGTTTTCTGTTCCAGTTTCAGTGGGTATGTACACGAATGCAACTACGCTTCCCACTTTTTGATGAGTTTTTCAATCAACGCTGTACTTTTGACAACAGTGGATAA